GAATAGAGACTCTTCGTTGAATTACGTGTTTTGTTTTCTTTCATTAAGGTACACATTACTCGGGAAAAGATCTGAGATTTTAGCACCAATATGAAATCAGCCCTTCCATATGACTCAGAGATGTGGCTTGTTATGAAAAGTATTTTCGTCAGACTATTGGAAACTTTCGTCAACAGTTACTTTCATTTAATAATGAAGATAGACAGAATGGACTGACTGGTTTCAACGTAGAACTTTGCACAGAAGTGCTGCAGTTCGAGTTGCCACTCTACCCTCATGTAGCACATACAGCAAGAGAGGAGAGTAAAGAGAGATTCAAAAGAGAGCGAGATAAGTGTCATGACCAGAACTACGAGCTAGGAGACTGTAAGCGAATACTAAATGAATGCGCTCGTTAATCTGTCCTAATCGCACGTCAACAACAACAATAAAATCACCGGTACGCAAAGACAAAAGACTGGTTGTCGATAAGAGAGCTTTTGCTGTCTCGAACAACAGTCAGAATGCTAGACAGAAACTCTGTACAGATATGGTTGGAATGACCTTGAGAATGCAGTAATTCAGTAGTGCATTAAGAGTATTAACAGCCAATAGGAATCCAGAAATCTAAAAGAGGGAAAAACAAAAGGTTCACGCCAGTGCGCGATAACTCCTTGAGCTAGTTATTTTAAGCTTTTACGAAAAGCTAAGTGTATATAACAATAATAAGTAGAAATGTGAGGCAAAGTGAATAGTAATATGAAAGGACATTACAGCTTTATTGGATATGATGAATCCCAAAGAGTGAATTCATCTGCGCCAGCCACTGAGAACGATTTTGAGCCATAGCATCAATTGTCTCCAGCCTTAATTAGATCTTACCATTCCAGACCCCAACCTCCCTGGCTGGCTTAAACTAACTGTTGTGCATTTCATTGATTGATAAAGCCATGTTTCGGTTTGACCACCACTAGCTAACTCTTGTCCAACCTGATCCATCCTATGTCAACTAACATTATCCGGCAAAGAAGGCGATGAGATGGAAAGGATAAACAGAAAGGAAACTCCAGCAGTCCAAAGATCTAGCGAAAATCTTATTATCCAATAAATATGCAAAAGCAAAGTGAAGGTAGATTGGTCACACACTGAAGACCATGTTGAGCAAAATCACGCACCAGTCCCTCGTGTGGGACCCTAATGGAAAGCAGCAATGTGGGCGTGGACTCGAAGATGACATAGATAAGATCGTGTAAGGAGGAAAAGAAACCTTGCAGGAAGCAGTGGGACTAGGCTGAAAATCACAGCAAAGAACAAAGTGAAATTCAGATGTACTGCTGGAAGCTCTATGGTTCACTCGGATTGCAAGAAACGAATTCTAAAATGTTAATAATGCTGATAATTTATAATTATATTTCAATAGTTTACACACAATGATAAGTTTTGTTATTGGTAATTTTGCTCGAAATATTACCAATAACAAAACTTATCATTGTGTGTAAACTATTGAAATATAATTATACTTTATTTGATCTAATCCACAATGTTCAAACTTTTTACTGATACTGATAATTTATGCTTAACTTTATCATTGGCAGCTAACAAAGCCTAACAATATCAGTACTTTTGTACAAATTCAGTCACTTTTGTTTTGTCTTATCTAATTTCTCAAAGAGAACAAAAATACTTTGGTTCGAAACTAGTTATTAACTAGTGTAATGTGTCTAATCCTTTGTTTGGCGCAGACTGAATACTCTATCAGTCAAGTTTGCAATATAGCCACCACATGCTAGCTGTTTCGCCATAACGGTGAATATTTTATATTAGATATTGACTGATGGAATTCAGTAAACACCAAAACACAGGACCAGACACATTACACTAGTTTCCAATCATCAAAGCATCCAATACAGTCCCCTACAGGAGGTCAATCGCGAGCTCGAATGGCTCAGTAGTGGGGTAACAACTCTGATTGCACATCACTGGGTGGTGAAACGGGTTCGAATCCCAGAGGGGACATGAGTTCCTTCAGGATTACAGATACGCCCTGCTGACTGACTGATGAGTGCCAACCAGCACGAAATCTAGGTCCAAAGCTTCCTATCGATTGCCTCCAAACATCTAATATACATGTATATATTTTTTGAAGAATCTACGTCCTCTACCTTAAGAAGTTTAGAATGAATAAAACGCGGTAAGTTGGCATGAATTCGGTAGGTGATCATAAAATCATAGTTGAGATTGTTAGAGTAACAGAAGTCGATCAAGTTTTCTTGTAAAATCACGCAGGAATGTGATCACGTATCAATGCGGAAAGCATTCTCTGGCTACAGCCAATATACCTTGCTCTAAAACAGAAGGTGAACTGAGAGATGTTCGTGGAAGCAGACAGATCAGAAAGTTTATCTTTTATTCAGATGGAGTACAACTTACGGCTGATGAAGGCGAATTGGAGTTTTGCAGTAAAGAAAATCTTACTGACTGATTTAGACAGACGATTTTTGAGCAAACCTGAAGCCTGAACTTCGTTGAATTCCAAAATCATGAAGATAGTTTTCTTTGGAACTGAGTTATTTGGTTTAATTCAGACATTTCGATTTTTTCTGTGATGTCACAAGAATAGGAAATGGTAAATTGGAAAACTTATCTGGCGTACACATTTAGCTTGCTAGCATCTGTCAGCAAGCTATATCCTCAAACGTGAAGATTTCATATATCCTGTTGGACGCCACGCTGCTACACTCAGTAAGATATCTACCATTTGTTTACTCTTCAGCTATCTAGATCACGAATGACTGTGTTCGACTGGCTGGGGTATGCATATTGTAGTAACCATTACGGATTGAAATATATATAATAAGGATGCTATTTCTAAGCTTTCAAAACAGATATCAATTAGAAAAACGCTGGACAATAAGATTTACTTTTTACAGATTTACAGAGTTCAGTCTGCACTGAACGAAGGACTGACTAGATTTAAGATATTAGTTACTGCCTAGTGTCGGTGGCACAGCGATAGAATTATCGCCAACCATGCAGGTGGTTCGGAGTTCGATCACCGGACGTTGATAAGAGAGTTTTCTCTTCTAAAAATTTAAAGCAATTACTCCCCTTTATGAATTTCGACAACACAATAAGAAGACGTAGTTTATCTGAAACGTGTAATGTGTATTTGCACAACACATTTCGGACATTCTGATCACACACACACGTACTTGTCATACACAGTATTATAGAAGGCATGAGTCATTACAATACAGGTCAGATTGTGTACAGGTCAAGGTCACAAATAATGGGTAGGGAGATGACGCAAAAGTGTGAGTAAGAAAGACAAAAACAAAGCAAAGAAGGGGTTGAAAATATTCTGAAGTAAACTGAACCTTGGTTCTAAATTGGATTACCAAGGCAGGTTAAAAGTAATAACACATAACTTTTGGACTTTATAGAGACGGTTCATAACGTTGATTTCACCAATGTCTTTAAGCCCGTATATGAAACAAGGTTGGGTCACATACTTAAATTCGCTGAAGGCTTGGCCATAAAAAGACTTAAACCTGTCTTATGTTTCCAAAAGTTATTTGTTATTACCTTAAACCTGCCTTGGTAATCCAATTTAGAACCAAGGACCAATTTTACCTCATAATATTTTCAACTCCTTCTTTGCTTTGTTTTTTCCTTCTTACCCACACCTTTGCGTCGTCTCCCTACGCATTATTTGTGACTGTAAGATCAATTCAATTCCCATCCTTGAATCAAGTCAACCTGTCCCGGATCAGCCTAGCGTTGTTGCAACCCAATTATCCATGCCTAACGTGTCTATCCCCCCTTGTTTAATGAACTGTGTGTTTTTACTTCGATCCGTTTAGTCAGACAGTTGAACTCATGACCCAATCAGAGTATTTTGTGAACTGTTATTTTTGCTGACCCATGTCTTACTTTGTACTATTCTGTCGAGTTTATCTTATTTATTGATTGGTTAAGTAGCCAATTAAATTCTATCTTTGTGCCTATGCTCTGTCTATCTCTTACTTGGGTTCATTCTTCTACTGACTGCTTACCTGAACGGTCGTGTCTGATTCCGGCTAGCTCGCAATTCTGGCTTTAACGTTATTCCGCTCTGATAGCGGTACCTTTCTGTTAAGCGTTTTGTTTTGTACTCTTGAAACCATTAAGGCTTGTTGTATATATAATTATTGATTTGTTTATTAATAGTACCGTAGAAACAGTGACCGGCTTCTTGTTTGTTCTGGACCGGGATAGCCATTATCTACGCGTGACTTAATTTCAAGCGATATTTCGCTTACAGTGACCTTGACCTGTATTGTAATTATTCATGCCTTCTTGCCTTCTATAAAAACTGTGTATGACAAGTACGTGTGTGTATCAGAATGTCCGAAATGTGTTGTGAAAATACATAACACGTTTCAGATAAACTACGTCTTCTTATTGCTGTCAAAAAATTTTAAAAAAAAACTTAGTCTCCAGTGGTAACGTCTCTGACTGTAGCACTAGATAGTGACCCTAGTTCGCATCTCAGAAGGGACATGAGTTCCTTCAAGGTTACAGATACGCCTTGCTGACTCGCAGAGATTCCTTCCGATCGCCCCCAACCATCTAACAGAACAAAAATTCACTAGAAGCCAAAATATATGAGCTGACATCAGTTAGAGAAACATTGGGACAGTGGTTTCTTCCTAGTGCTTGGAACTCTTCACCAGTAAGCACCCACCGCCAGCTCTAGAACCCCGGACCTTCCGGTTACAAGGCGAGCTCGTAGACCGTCAAGCCACTGGGACCCGATCCAGTAGCCCGCGAGTCCCAACTTCTGCCAGTTCTACCCAATCAATCAAATCCTTTGCAAACCGACACTTGAGAATATCAAAGTGAACGATTCATCAACAGCAAGACAGCAACAATGATTTGACAATATTATATTTTATTAAGTCTTTAAATCAAGTTATCTAATGTTTTTTTTTCAAATTGGCCGGAAATCTTCACAAAATAGAACAGAACAAAAAAAATGGAGGAAAAGGTATGGGAAGGAAAGACGAATAATAATAATAATAATAGTAAGAAGACATTAAAACATTAGAACAGAGGAATACATTTTTGCCGAGGGAATGAGAACATCTTTTGAAGAGTATAGCAGTAACAATAACAATAATAATAATATTAATATTAATAGTAGTAGTATGAGTAATATTAGTGTAATAATTACAAGAGGGGTAATATAATGACAGTGGTCAATGGAACATGATATACATGAAAACGTGTATGAGACACTCCAAATACGCACTGACACCAACCCACCCTACCCACCGCCGCCAAACTCCAGCGACGCAACATTTAACAACATGAGTAGAGATAGATAGATAGATGGAAAAGAATCGTGGTGATGAAATAAACAATAATGATGAACAAGACAACACACACACACATACAAACAATCAAAGGATAGAGAAGACAACATCAAATGACAAGATGAGGAAAGTAGTTATATATATAAGTAGATAGTAAGTAATAACAATCTACAACTTGTATGTATTCAATCAACGTTTAAGATGTTAAATAATAAGATAAGGAAATGTGCTATATATACGAATAATAATAATAAGATAATAACAAGACGAGTGAATGAGTGAGTGAGTGAGTGAATAACAATCGTGATAAATAACAAGAATAATAGCAACATCTTATATCAAGCATAAAATATACAGCTAATTCGATCACAGATAATAATAAAATAATTGACATTATGAATAGTGATAGTTGAATGAATTATATAGATATCTGTATTTATATGTATTAAATGTATACATAGTGAATACAACCCTGAAGGAAGGAAGGAAGGAAGGAGGGTAGGGAGACAATCAGATAGATAGATAGATGCTCAGGGGACACACATACACCAGCGCAGTAGTAGTAGTAGTCGTGGTAGCAGCCGATAATCACCGAAACACACTACTGATGATGATGATGATGTATAGGTTCGATAGTCTAAACATAATTCATCAAATTTATCATCAAGGCTAATTGACAGAGGTATTCAATGAAGGTTCAAAGTTTTGTCTTGACTTGAACACAACAGTTGGAGTAGAAAGGATGATATACACAGACAGATAGGAGGACTTCTCCCTCCCTGTTTCTCTTCCTCTCCAATTTTAATAAGGAATTTGATTTTGCATATACTGAATTACATCATACGATTTATCCCTCCAATGAGCAAGACATGTACGCATAATACGTAGATAGGAGGCGGCGGCTTCACGATCTGACAATTGTGGTGCAAATCGTTGTCTTAACAGTTTGATAGTTTGTCCACGGAAACACGGTAGACCAGAGTCCAGCATTAATGAGATCAAGGCGACAATCGCCTCTTGATACGGTCGTAAAGCTAGATAGGCTTGTACAGATAAATGTTCAAACCATAAGTACGGTGGACTGTCCATACGTCCACCCATAATCATAAACATTTCTTTGGTTAATTTCATATCACTTTCCCAGCCTAAATTACCACCGGGGCTACTTTCTAGCATGTAACCGAAATCTGTAGGAGAGGTGAAAAGAAAAACAACAGGTAAGAAACACACGTAGAAAGATTAAGTTGATAACCATTGGAAAAGAACGATAAGAAATTGTTATAATAAAAGCGACCTTCTTTCCGATACTCTAAAGTAAAGAACGCTCATTTCATCAACACCAAGATGGGTATTCACCTGTCGTCCAGTATTGATTTTATTCCTTTGCGTTCGTAGTGGAACGTAGAGCTTCAAAACTTGAGCTCTGAAGTTTTAGTACAAGAAGTGCTGCTAGCCTCACGCCTAATCTTTTTTCTTTTACCCAGCTTACTGCCGGTTAACCAAGGTTTAGGAGTACGTCGATCAGGGGACCGAACTCCGAACCATATGTGTAGCTGGCGAGTATTCTAACCCTGAACCACCAATGCACATACACACACCATCGTCCAGTACTCTCTGCTAACTCGCAGTTCACCACTTCTGTGTACATGTACCAATTCACATACTTACTTCTGTGGAGTAAGATATACAGGTCGCTCAATGTGAGTTTTATCTAAAAGAGTCACGGAACATTATCTCACATGGCTATAAATTGAGCACATTTCTACCACTGGTCATTCAGTCTCTAGAGAATCAAAAGAAGCGTTACTAATCCGCTGGGCGTTTTGTATTCCATGCATTGTTTAGGCCATAGCCATTTGTATGGAAAAAGCAAGATTTGGGCGAAGAGCAGAAATTTATATCTGCCACCAGTGTTTCTACCTTAGACATAATTGCAAACTCAACTGTTATCAACACCTTTTAAAATTCTCTGAGCTGGTTGGTTTTATTGCGGATCTTTCGTCGTCCCCTCTTCTAGACAACATCTTCAGCGCAAGTTTTAGCATAAAGTGAACTGAATTAAATTCTCTATGAATGATGATAGAATTGCGTCTCCTGGTAACCATCTTTGTGACTGGTAATCGATTTACATCTGTACTGATCCCTTTTTTATTGACTTGGATTTTGAACTTTCTCGTAGATTTCGTCTATATTAACATGTTTGTTAATCTCTGGCTAGTTCACTTGAGTACCAGCAAGGACTCTAGGAATTCCCTGGCACTTTTCGTTTTTCCTCTGTTTAAAACTTCGAAATTATCCCATAATTATCTGCATGCATTGATATGAAAGAATATATATCATGTCTTTTCACAGCTAATTTGTGTTCTTGGATTCTGATTCGAAGGGAACGCCCATTTTGGCTGATGTAATGTCTGTTCCAGTTCATACAATTTATTTTGTAAATGGTATTAATTTTATCTTCTTTTTCTGTTGGATTAGTCTTTCGGTTTGCACAATATCGAATGAAGTGATTGTGCTGGCTGTTTGGCTAGCTTGTGTGCTATATCTATTTCAAACAGTTTCATTAATATTCTAGCTGTTATTTCAATTAAACCAACCAGCTCAGAGAACACAACTAATTGCAAATCATCCACCTGAGCTACAAATCTTCTCTATCTTTTTGACATTCCAACTGGACAGCTGTTACATATATATATGTGTGCTGATGAAGAGTCTTAAACTAGGACGACACAGACGTTCAGTACTCCCTGGTCTTTCAGTGGTTGTCTAACTGATGTCAACTTGTGATCGAACCTGTAGCCAATCAAACACCCCCCCCACACAAACCAACAATTGAAAATTCCTATTTTCGTTATTGTGGTTTTTCTTTTGGTATTGCGACTATCAGCATCATTCATCCTTTTCTTCACTCTGTTTATCTATGATATTGCAGCATATCTTGGTGTGCGTTTCTAAACCCTTTCTATTGTAATCCAATTTCTCAAAGAGCTATTGTTCCTATTACGCAATCCTTAGTTTAAACTCACTAATCTTCGCAAACCTTAGTTACCATATGAATTATTATTATTATTATTGTTCCCTTGGGTTCCTAGTGGAACATAGGGCTTCAACTGCACGTCTCCACTTGCTTCTGTCTTCTGCTGTACTTTTCACCTGCATCCATGTTAGTCCATACTGTTTCAACTCCTCTTCACACGATCTCCTCCATGTCACCCTTGGACGTCCCACTCGCCGCTTCCCTTTCAGGTTCCACTCGAGCGTTGGCCTGACGCGCGATGTCACCCAACGGCCTCCTCAGCGAGTGTCCAATCCATCTCCACTTTCTCCTGCATATTTGTTGAGCGATTGGTTCTTGTTTTGTTTGTTCCCATAGTTTCTTGTTGGTGATTCTTTCCGGCCATCTGATCTTCAGTATAGAGCGAAGACAGTTGTTGATAAAGGTCTGCAACAGGCTGTTGGAAATATTCTTTGTGACCCGCCAAGTTTCTGATCCGTATAGAAGAACTGACTGATTGACGTTTGTATTGAAAATCCGAATCATTTTGTTGTTGATGCTGAGTTGAGTGACGAAGATTTCCAGATTGGTTTCAGGTTGATGAATGTGTTTCTCGCCTTTTCGATTCTCGATTTGACATCCTCGTCCGTTCCTCCTGTAGTTGAGACAATGCTCCCTAGAATTAAGTGAATGAAGTAACCTCTTTCAAATCCCTCCCGTTGATGGTGATTCGCGCTGGATGTTGCTGCTGCTGTTGGTGGTGGTGGTTGGTTATTTTCATAACCTCCGTCTTGTCTATGTTCACGTGCAGTCCTGTCTTTGCTGCTTCTTCGACCAGTTTGTCGGTTTTCGCTTGTAAGTCTTCGATTTTGTGTGACATCAAACATAAATCATCCACGCGCGAAATCCAGGTCTTCTAGGTTCTTCACGTCGGTCCAGGATATCCCTGTCTTCTCGTTTCCCACTGTTTGACGCATAATCCAGTCCATCACAATTAGGAATATCATTGGTGATAATAAGCACCCTTGTCTGACTCCTGTGTTTACTCCAAACGCCTCGCTGAGTTTTCCGTTGTGGATCACTTGACATATGAATACCATATGAATAATCTTCACTAATCAGGAAACCATTCAATGAAGAGTTGATCTTCAGTAGTGAGCGCGATCTAACTGAAATTTGACTGATAGAATTCAGTCAATTTACTCTCTAAGGACCAATATCAATGTATTCATTATTAAGGTACTCAAGGAGATCAGTCATAAGTTCGTATAGTTTGGTGGTGATGCTTCTCTCTCTCCCTCTCTCTCTCTCTGACAGTAGCACTGGGTTCAAACCAGTCCCTTTGAGACTGCAAATACGCCTTGTAGATAGATACCAGGGGATAAGAAATCTATTTCTAACGGCCTCCTACCAACCGCCCCCAACCAATTCACACCAGAAATAAAATGTATATCAAGTAGGGCAGCAAATAAAAAGAACGATAAAGACAGTTCCCTTTTCTCCTCACAATATCATCTCAAAGGACCATCAAGGCTATACAACTGTTGCTATCACTATTACTACTATACAAAATATTATATATAAATATATTAAAAGTGTGATAATACTTGCATTACTCACCAATATGTATAATATGACCACTTTTATCAACCATAATATTTCCATTATGACGATCTTTAATTTGTATTAAATAACAGAAGACACTATAAGCAGCCAAACTTAATACAAAATTTCGACGAGCCTTAATAAAGAAAGAATGAAAAAGGAAGAATTACACATACTTCATTGTAGCTGTAGTCAAATTGAGTAAGTCTCATTTTACAGATTTGTAATTGAGATGGAGAAAAAAATCAAAGGATATGAAATGGCATTATGAAAAGTAAATGTCCATGTAGATTTTCTCGAGGAACCAACATCAGTTATCGAATTATTGGAAAATATGCAGCACTGGAAGGCTTTTCCTTCCTAATTTGGGACTCTTCACATCCATGATCCCATCACGTGTCGAGTGAGGTCAACACGTTGATCACTCAGCCGCTGGTTTGGAATTCATTATTATTACTATTATTATTGTTCCCTTGGGTTCCGAGTGGAACATAGGGCTTCAACAGCACGTCTCCATTAACCTGGAAGTACTGGACAGATGTTTCGTTTCAGTTGGGACTCTTCATCAGCACACAGCCATCGGGGTTCGAACCTAAGATTTTCCGGGTACCTAGCCTATCACATGCTCTGATGGTGTTTTCGTGACTTTCTTTGTCAGATCTGCTAAGGGCGATACGGCAGTACGCCACCTAATGGTTGTGTACAAGGTTTGAAGAAGGCTATATGTTATATGCATGTGCCTCGCTCTGACGACGGTTTCTTTGTAACCAGAAGGTCCTAGGCTCGAATCCCAATGGGTGCGTACTGCCGATGATTCCCGAACTAGGATGAAACAACTGGCCAGAACTCCCTGTTGGTTTTCCAATGGTTCCGTAACCGATGTCAGTACATGATGAAATCAAATCCCTGCAAACCAACACTTGAACTTGATCTTCTGTTCATGTAACCTTTTCAATGCTTGATAAATCTGATCCAATATCAATGTGTCTGCTGATTAAATAATCAACATGGACAATGCAAATGAATAAGTGGGGGGGGGGGGAGAGATGCTTGTTACACTCATAAGGAAGCTTAAAAGTTCGCATAGCATTAAAGTTTGCAACAAAGGTGTATAGTCTAGAAAGGCAACCCTGTAAACTTTTCAATTCAACCAACCAGATGACAGGGAGAGACGGATATAGGACACAACGGCATGAATAACATCCGCTTCGGCTACAAGTCTTCTTTATCAATTCCACTGATAAATAATGCCTTATGAAGCTTGATAATCGACAAACAACAATACATACAGCAGTCAATAGTCAGACAATCTGAAATAGTTATGGGTTGATACAGGAGGATAACATAAGTAAAATGAGAATCTAGGAAGCAGTGGGTTCCAAACTGCGAGTCCGACGCTCCATCTGTTGATAGTTACCTGATTCGCAGTCAGACTTAGTAGCCTATCAGCTAATAGACTGCCGGACAGAGGCTTATTGATGAATGGAGTCCAATCGTCGTGACTCAGATTTTCATCCTACACTTTCACATTCATTACCAACTCTACATAAATTTTAGAAAAAAAATTTTTTTTATTTGCATACCAATTGATAACTGGGCGTCGTCTCATCCCCGTATATACTTAAAAAGTATTCATATAATTTGCCATCAGTTTGACGTCCAATTTGATCACGTGATTTACTGTCTGGTACACATTCAATGACACCACGCTAAGAAAAAAAGAAAGAACAAGCAACAGGAGAACAATAACACCAACATCAAGAACAAGAAGAACAATTACACTGGTAATGGAGAGAGACAGATTATAGATGACAGTCATTATTATATTACTCACTAAAGCGGCAAAGTAAACAATAACAGCATATGAATAACGACAGAAAATGAGCTTTCACCATATATAACATCATTCATAATATATTGTATGAATAATATTATAATACCAAGGTTAGGTCGGGTGGTTTAGTGTTCGACTACTCGCCAACTACATACCTGGTACAAGTTCGATTCCCAGTGGAAGCAATCCAAAACCTCGCTTAACCGGTGGTAGAGTAAGCCGGGTTAAAGAGGGAAGGTTGAACTTGAGGTTAATAACTCTGCATTCATTCAAAAGAAGTTCGTACAGCCACTATCCATCCAATGGCCTAATAACATCTAACCAACTGATAACGTTTCCACCGCCGGTTATTTATATTTTCAACCCATATCTTATCATCCCTCAGTCTTATCACATCTTCATTAAAACATATTTAAAAGTCAATCTGAACGAAGAATATTCTTTTCAATAATTTCTTCTCTTCAGGTTCTTACAATTATAAAATATAATCTTTATTGTTGTTACAATAAAGGCCAGTTATGCGGCAGATACATTTTTCACGTAGAATAACAGATTAGTTATGGGGCGTCAAAATCAATAGTCGTAATTGTGTGACAAACGTGCTAAGCTGAATTCGATTACAAAATATTGTAAAACGGGAGACAATGGTGGTGATTAATCATAATAGATTTCTAGAGTGTGGGGTAGGAAAATTGACAAGTCAGTTCAAGGTTATAAAAGGTGTCAGGTGAGTGAATGGCTAGTACAAAATGGTATGTATCAAACAGGAGATAGTAAGACTGCAATGGGAGGTTCATAATGAGATAACGAATATGTGAAATGAAACAGGTGGAGGCATATATTGAGAAAAGAGATAATATCACTAATAATAAGTCCGGATAGTATAAATGAAATATTCGATAGTATGGAGAGAATGTTTGCATGATAACAGGTAGATTAAAGTGTTAATAATATTCATAATAATAATATTAATAATAATAATTGTAATAATAAGCAAAGGAAAAAAAGCCAAGAGGGTTAAGAGGAAGGAGCACTCTTGGTGAAAAGAAGAATCATCAATCCAAGTTTGGCCACGGTAGGAACAGCGTCTGGACATGTTCTTTTTGGATACAAAGTTCCGGTTTAGTCAATCTTATTGCAACAGCTTCAGCTATGTGTAGAAGACGTAAGCGAACTGTACGTGATAACGACTTCGGAATTCGGTATATAACCCTGAAAGCTGTGTTGACATCGATATGATGCCCAGCATCGACCAAGTGTGACAGGATCAAGCTTTTTATGCACTTAATTTCCCCCATGCTGAACCAAGCTGGTAAATGTTCTCGAACCCGTAGAGGAACCTGCCTAATCGTGCGCCCTATATAACTTGATCCACAGGAACAGTTGAAATGGTATATGCATGAAGAAGAGCTAAGCTTAGGTTAGACATCTTTGAGTTGCTGGGTGAATATATTTAATTTACTTCCCTTACAATCTAGGATTACGTAATCGGTCCATTTGTTTTTCTTAGTCTTTATCGAATACTATGTCTACCTGAACATTTATTTGTTTATTCATGCTGTGTTTTCATTATTCCTGTTATCACAGATCGTCTCACTTTTTCATCTTTGCTACTGATAGAATTATTATTATTATTATTGTTATCATAACTAGTGGCACGATTGATATACCCAATCTTATTATTATCTTATAGACAAAACACCATGATTGGTTTGCATTTGAATATCTATATATATAGGAGAGTTAAGCCTGATGAGACTCAATTGAAAGCACAATATTATTTATTATCATAAAAGTTTTTGACATTTCCCAATGAATGAAAAACAAAACGATATAACTGTTTTTACTGACGTTTCACTAATTAATGCTGCTGCTAATAGCTTAATCAAAGTATTATAAAACCAGAATTAGATGGAGAATTTCATCATGAGCTGACAGCAGTTAGAGATCCACTGAAAACCAACCGGGAGTAATGAACAGCCATTTCGTCCTACTTTGGGACTCTTCATCAGTACGAACCCCGGTGAGTGCCTACTGATGTCAGCACATGGTGAACCTCCATCCAATCAAACTGAATCCCTGAAAAACCAAAACTTCGAAAATTAGTCTGACGATCACTAGTGACTAACCCTATTCATGCAGTTAACCTGGGGTTCTAGTGGGAAGCCGTAGCCAGTAGGGTACAGCAGGTTGCAGGTGGTGAGGCAGTAACTCATCGAAGAGGACATTGCGAAATGGTCGCGCTATGTCGTGAATTGGCAGAAGTTGGAATTCATGGACTGGCCATTGGATTGGCAGGTCCCAGTGGCTTAATGGTTTATGAGCTCGCCTTATAACCAGAAGGTCCTGGGTTCGAACCATGGTGGTGGGTGCGTACTGATGAAGAGTCTCAAACTAAGATGAAACAGTTGTCCAGTACTCCCAGGTTTTCTAGTGGTTCTCTAACTGATGTCAGCTCATGATGAAATCCTCCATCCAATCAAACTCAATCCCTACAAAACCAATACTTAAACCATAATTTACAAAATCTCAGCTTATGTATGTAACAACTTAATCGTCGTTCCTCAGCATGGGGGCATTTTTGTATTGTCAAGTTCAACAATTGGTAAAGATAACAAAACCGAGTGTAGATTGTCGGATTGGATAATTGTATGAAATTATAAAAGCAGCATGTGTTTACATAATGAAATTTCTTATCATATACGTGTTTATTTTGTCATTTCAAGGGGGAGATGGGTTGTTGTAACCAGGTCAAATTCTGTTTTAGTCTATTATTCCTATCCAGAAAATTTGGATTCCATTTGATGATATGAAGTGCTTCTAATGATGTGAGGGGTTCTTTGTGATTTCTGAAATGCTTTTTCTGGATTATTTCAGTATTGTCAAAATCAATTTTGTGGCCT